TGGAGGAAATCAAACTCGGCACACCTAAGGATCTAAGATTAACATATGTTAGTAGCCTATTAAAACCGGAGATAAAGTAGAAGGTCATAGCTCTGCTTCACGAGTATAAAGATTGCTTCGCATGGGACTACCATGAGATGCCTAGCCTAAAGAGGAGTTAACTGAAAAGCAAAAGTTTTATTATCCACAGACTACCATTCCATTTGCTAAAAGGTTTATTAACAATTAATTTGTGCAAGCTGTGGAAGACAGAACCTAGTAGCATGGTTCCTAGGGCATAAGTTCACCCACAAGCTAGTTCATAAGCCAAAGGGAGATACTCACCAATGGGATGACCAGAAGTGGGAAGAAGATAAACTTGCACAACAAAATCCATAGGAACTGCACATAATCTAATGAACTGGTACTTTGGCCAAACTTGATAACTAAGGAATAGGAGTCGAATGACCAAGTATATGAGACTGAGTCGATAGAGGAAGGACTAGGCTTGGTGCATCATCTCTAATAATGAGTAAGCCAGTCAAAGCACAGATGTCTAGAAGAGTAATACACATCAAACCTATGGGAAAAATAAAGAGTTGCAATAATCAAACCAAAATCTTAAAGTGCCACAAAGGACACTAGTGCACAGAGGAGGGCCTGATTGCGGAGGCCTGTATAGTTTGATACAGGAGTACATCCTTAATCTTCCCAAAGGGATTTGCACACTGGTTCTAGAAGATCTATCCATTCATTCTATAAGTTTGTATGTTGAGGCCAAGACTTGATCTTGTATACTAGCAGAGGCGGGAGAACAAGACGAGATAGAATTAATTTAGTGTTTCTCATCAATAGTAGGGGAGATGATGGGGGCCTTTTTGTTAATGGTCAAATAGTCTTATCAAGAGAGCAGGGATGATGTTCCAGTAAGTAAAGTAAGAGAATTATAAGATAAGCAAAAGAGTGCACAATATATGTTATACGAGGTTTAGTAGAGGAGTTTACTTGAGGAGCTAGTGCACTAGTAGGAGCGTCACTTGAGTTATTAGAAAATGCAATAGTGGAACCTATTACAAGGAGCTTAAAGTCAATTCTTTTCTGGGGAAATTTTGATAGAGTTTCCTCTGTATTATGGAGATCCAAAAAGTAGTTTCCTACTCCTACCAATCTCATAGCATCAACAGATGTACTCCTCAAATGGAATCAGGTACACAATTGGCAAACTCAAATTTATTCATCATAGAGGAACTAGTTCGTTACCTTGAGCTAAGGTGGAAAAAATATGCTCACTAGCATTAAAATCTAGAACGATAGTTGCCAATGGAACTAGTGATGAAGAAACTGGTGCCTCTAACTTAAGTCCAAGGATAGAATTAGATCAAGGATTTTCATTAGATGCCATAGCCTTGATACGCGAGAAATCACTAAAATAAATAAATAAATAAGAAAGAAAATAAACGAAACAAAAAAGAAAGTTAGAATTTGCAGGAATAGATGTGGCCGAAGCAATGGCTACCAAACCTAGTTATTTAAAAAAATAATAAAAATAAAAATAAAAAGGGGAAATAAGATGGAAAAACTTGTGTGATTAGAGTTTCCTTTTTATATATGTATAAACAATAGAAAAGAAGAAGAGGAAAAGCAATGGTACTTTCTTCTTGGTGCCATGTTTTGTTTTGATTAGAAAGGAAAAAAAGGGGACCCTTTACTACATCATCAAAATCAAGGCAACAAAAGAAAAGAAAAGGACAAAAGTGTTTCAATGATAGATCCTTTGTGGAAAGAGACTTACCAGTAGTCAATGATGAAGATTGATGGGTTTGCTTGTATGTGTTACATAGATTTCTTTGAGAATTGGTAGCACAAAAAATAGTTTTAGGTTTGTCTTTTGACCGTGATTAAAATCCCTAAGTTTTAAGAGTCTATAGAGAAGGGATCATTTTTTTGCTTTTAAATTTTAAATCATAAATGGGTTAGGTTTTTTCAAAATGGGCTAACATATTAAGCATGGCCCAATAGACCAACTTAATATGGGGGCAATTGTTGGACCTATTTTGTGATTTTTTAAATTGAGCTTTGTATTTTGGATTTTGACTTGGATTTTATTTAATTGGGAATCAATTAATATTGTTTTGGATAATTAATTGATTTATTAATTTCTGTCAATTAATTAATTAATAAGAAAGAGATAATAGAAGACGTGAGTTGCAGTTGGAAAAAAGGGAAGCGCTCCTCAAGTAGTTATTTACCACGTATAGAAGGTGGAAACCAAAGGAGCCAATGAGGATAATGTGCATCAGTGGATCTTTTGGTAACTGCCTAAGAAGCCTATAAAAAGAGCAAGAGACAGCCCGACCAAAGCCCCAACCAAATTCTCCAACGAATTCAATCAAACTCTCTAATGAGTCAATTAGTTGAATTTCAAAAGCCTTATCTTTATTTTTCCTAAGCACTGTTTATTTACATTTCCTGTAATTACAAGCTTTCTTTTCAATAGAAGTAATCAATTTACATTTTAAGCAATCAAATCTCCTTTACATTTCAAGCAATCAAATCTTTATTTATAATTTCCTCTGCTTAAATTTATTTTAATCACACAACCGGTGAAGCGTATACCATTGATCCAAACCCACAGCTTAGAAGTTAGATCAAGCGCACTTTATTTTTCAGTTGGTGTACTCACACACCTAGCACACCTGCAATTCACAAATCAAGTTGTCAGTCAGCGGATTCATTGCTCTTTCCACAAAAAGAACCAACACTACCTAAAACACTTGTTAAAGATAAAATCTAGAGAATGAGAAATGATGTTTCAAGAGCTTTCCTTAAGTAATCAAAAATCAAACCCTAATCTTTGGACCCATTTGCCTATTTATAGGCAAATGGTGATTAGGGTTGCCATAATTTTGGGGCATTCTCAGCCGACCCTTGAAAATCAGACCGATAATTCCCACATCGATTTCCATATTTTTTATATTCCAGAAGTTTATCCTCAATGGCAGTTCCGGTCTTATAAACTTGAGAAAACTCCGCCAATGGCATATAATGCATTTTGCTCACGGTATGCTAGCAAAGTCCCCTTGATGAAATCTTAATTTGCTCTTTAGTGTCAGGTTTATTCCTCATTTGAGTGGCCTTGGCCCTGCACCTGGCCATATATTCAGAGCATGTCTCATCAGCTTTCTAAACTGTGGTCTCTAGATCCCTCATATTGACACTCATTGGAGATTGTAAGCATACTCCCTCAAGAATATTGTAGTAAGCTTATTTCAATCTTTTCTTATATTTTTCTTTAATTGTAGTACCATGTCTGGGCAATTCCCACTAGTGACATGGAGAACATCCTGAGGCAAACCGGCAAGTTTTATCATTGCCTTATATTGCATAACATGTACTTTAGGGTCTCTTGTCCCATCGTACTTCGACACTTTTGGCATCTTGTAAGTTAGAGGTACAGTTGCTTTCAGCTCTAGTTCCCGTGCCCTGTTCAATGCAAACCTCTAGAAAACTGAAAATGTAAAAATGACCTGACATCTCACTTCTTTTTAACTCGGATCACTTGTCCGAGAATCAAGTCCATTGGACATCGAAAGCTTATTTTATGATAAAAAGAAGTTATCATCACTGAGTTAGAGGGCCTGAGCAAAATTGAAGCATCTACAGATTTGGGCCTAGATATGTGTATTGAGATTAAATCTTTTCCAAGAAATATTAAGAGTGTACTCTCTTGCATCAACTTATTGCACTCGAACCCAAGATAGTCGGGTTTAATGGTTGAAGTACACTAAATCTTATTCTGGTGATTACATGACCGAGTCGTAGAGTCAGCATCTTGGGAAGGGCAATTGCTCCATCAAAAAAAGATTAATTTCTCATCTGACCATTCCATTAGCATAACTTTGATTACAATTCCATTATATTACATTTTCATTGCAGTACATCTTTAATTACATTACAACTAAAAGGCTTGGGTTAATTGACAGTAAAGTTGACCAAGAAAAAAAGAGACGTAGTTCCATGTCTATTAGGTACTTCAAACCTAAAAGAGTAATTAAGAGGTAGGAATAGTTAATTACCAATTTGATATATCAACAAAATAGAAAAGAAAAGTACAGAGGGAGCTTTAGATTAATGGAATCACAAACTATTTTCGAATATCAAACGTCTTTCAAGGCATTGCCACACCATGTGCTGGCACATCATTAATATCTTTACCCACAAAATATCAAGTTAAAACTTTCATTAAACCTCAAAATATTAAAATGCATATTTGTTGAAAACAAATCCAAATACAAGAATTCATACCCAGATAGAACGATGTTTCAAATTCAAATAAGCGCCCAGCATAAAATTCTCACTAATTTCTTGTCGAGTAGGAATTTAGATTGCAAATCTAGTGTTAACCTTTGAATAACAATTCAATGAATTTTGAACAACATCCTTGATTATGTCAACATAATTAAATTAAGTGGAGGGTATTCAATCAGATATGCTAATGTTAGAATCCTTTAATAGCTAGTCAAAATACAAACAATAACAATAATAATAATAATATTGCATAAACTAGAAGCAAAGTGATTGGAAAAGGACAATCTATAAACCAATCATGTTCAAGCTTCTGAGACTATGCTAACTTCATGAAAATTTTGTTACAGAACATCATAAACAACAATCTAAAAATTTTTTTGAATTCTGTTACAGAACAATTGTTGAACTTTTTCTTCCTAGTTTAGTTGCTCATTTTGCAAGGACTTGCAACCATTTTCTCCTTGTCCATGAATTCTGTTGCATAATGAAATACATAAAAATTTTCGAAGAACTTACCATGTTTGTACAACTTATCATATATATTGAATTGAATCAATTTTAGACAAATTGTTATTGATCACAATTGTATTCATCTTTCTCGCATACATCAAAATATCATAAAATGAACTATAACTGCTAATAAAATTTTATCATTTCACCATTTATGAAAATCCTAAACTTTAATCAAACTGATAGTCATATTGCTACTTAATGTGTGGTTAATATTGACTACCATCAAATTCATATCAACATGATTTCAAATGGCAACTTGAATAATTATAGAGCTAGAACAAAATTTCTATGTCGTCTTTTGACGGAAGGGAGCAGCCTTACTGACGACAGGCACTAGGTAATGCTAAACATCCACTAGGACCTTGCCTATCACTGGACAGAAATATAAAAAAAGACAGCATGATATTTTGGGAGGGAAAAAATACTTCCTTCTAATAATGTATACAGAACAGACAAGGTTGTGACCAAACCACGTAATATCCCATTCTTGCATATGATGTCTCAAATTCTTGGAACTGCAAGAAAAACACCCAAGTGAGTTAGAAAAACTGCCCGTCATCTAACTAAAAAATGCCCAACTAAAATCTGCCCATTTTAAGAGCATATGCAAATTGACAACAATAACATAGAGCTTACCTCCACCTATTGTTGTTTCGGGCAGCCGTTCAATTGAATATTTGTGTTGAGTAATGTACATAATTGGTACACCAGGGATCTGCACATGAACAGGGGACTATCAGAATTCAGAACCAATTTTATCAATACACTGTGAATGTCTTATTTGTTGAAGGTCACCTTACGTATCCTTCGCTTCAAATCTCGATCACATGTCGCAACAATGTAACATTTATGCTGCTCACATAAAAAACAACCAATCAATCACAAATGTTATCGTGAAAAACAACAAAATAGCTGATTGTAGCCAATCAAGACAATAAATTTCTCAACATAAAACCAAAATGCATAGTGATATAATGAAATTAATAAATTTCACAAACCAAGAACAATGTCAAAAATCTAAAAAAAAAAAAAAAAAAAAAAAAAAATATAATGAAATTAATAAATTCACAACCAAGAACCAATGTCAAAAATCTAAAAAAAAAAAAAAAAAAAAAAAAAAAAAAAAAAAGACATATCCAAATGCATGCCAGCATAATATCTTATCAAACCAAAGTTCTGATAACAAATTTCAAACTGTAACCAGAAAAACATATTATTTGGA